AGGAGGAGGGAGAGATGGATGGTGGAGAAAGGAGGAAGAAAGGAGGCGGGAGAAATGGAGGAGGGAGGAGGGAAAGATGAACGAACGAAGACTGAGGGAGGAAGGAGGAGAGAGGCTCAGAGAGCCGAAGAAGGAGGAGAGAGAGAGGGAGGAAGGAGGAGGGAGAGATGGACGAAGAAGAAGGGAGAGAGGAGGGAAGAGAAAGGGAGGAAGGAGGAGGGAGGGACGTTGGTATCGCGCGGAGCGAATGACCCTGTGGCTACCGAAAAAAAAAAGAAAAAAAAAAAAAAAAAAAAAAAAAAGGTGATTGGATGGTGGAGTATTCGAAGGAGAGATAGAGGAGGAGGAGGGGAGAGAGAGAGAGAGAGAGAGAGAGAGAGAGAGAGAGAGAGAGAGAGCAGGTGGCAGCCCACCTGAACGGACGCTTCGTCGCTCCCACTGCCTGCTCGAGCTGCCTCCTGCTGCCTGCTGCTGCCTCCTGCTGCCTCCTGCTGCCTGCTGCAACCTCCCGTTTCGTCCTCGAGCTATGGCTGAAGCTGCTGCTGAAGGGCTGGTCCGGCGACGACAACAAAGAACAGGCCGCCGCCGAAGGAGAGCAACAACAACGAGCGGGCAGGCCGACTGCCGGGGTGCCCAACTGAGGCGTGGGGTTTGCCTGAACCACGTTGGGGAGGTCTGAGTAGTTCGAAAACGAACTACTCATATCTCCCCCCAAATTTGTTTCCGGGCCCACGCGCGGCCCGAAAACATTTTTGCCCGTCCAAACGGCCATTTCCCCCCGATAGCCCCCTGAGCCTAATCCCCCCCCCGAGAAAATTTGTTTTTTTTCGCGACCCCTCATTTTCCCTATGCAGCACATGCCGTGCGCGCGCCAGTTGCGAGGTGCGCTCTGCGCCGCACCTGCCGCGACGCCTCGCAGGCATGCGCCTCAAGTATGACTATAAGTCATTTTCAGCAGTTAGGTAAAAACCAAGATCTACGGTTGTTTTACTTCACGTAGAATTTTGTTCCTGGAGGAGGCCTGAAAAACGTACTATCATAATCTTGAATACATTTCGTGCAAACGAACAATTTGTTTTGTTAGGTTTTCACGAATCCTGTGTTCATATTTGATGTGAAATCATCGGAGAATAAAGCTTCTCAATCGTGCATATGAAAATGAATAATCCTAGCTGCTGACATAAGCAAGTATTTCCGACCAAGTATTCACTAGAGAGGTGATGATCGCCAAGGACATGCACAACGAAAAAACACACACTATGTCGTTGCAATCAACACCAACCCATTAAAAGGATCATCGCAATTTTCATGCACGAAAGAAGAATCAAGCACCGTACGTAATTATGACATCAATTATAGATTCATACGGGAACATAATTCACAGAAGCATTCAGATACTCACACATAGCGAATCTTAATGTAAGAAGCACAATACAAAATGGAAGAAACGAAGCATAGAGGGGAACAATTATATCTGAATTTCTGAAAGAACATTGCCCTCATATGAACTGCCAACTTATATGTGTGTCCATTCAACGGGCAATGGGTTTTGTACAACGCCGTTGTACCCGTTGAACACCTTCGGGGTCCCCGTTGAATCCCCGTTGAACGGTATAACGGGGGCTTCCCGTTGAATTCCGATCAATGGGTCGAGCGCAATGGGGCTTGGACACGTGGCGGGACACGCGTGGAATAAAAAAAAAGTAAAAAAACTACCCTCTATGTGTGTGTGTGTGTGTGTGTGTGTGTGTGTGTGTGTGTGTGTGTGTGTGTAAGTTCATGTGTGTGCATATGTGTGTGTGCGTGTTCATGTGTGTGTGCGTGT